TTTCTCAAAAACGTTTTCGAAATAACATATATGTGACGAATGTAAAAGTAACCAAAGTAATTGCATTATGTGCATGCAGACCTTCAACAAAGCGAGATGTAGATTATACGTTTTTCTTGAAAAATCTAGTTCTCTGAAAAGTAAGTAAACATTCACTTGAATTGTTTGTTATATGATATTTTTTCAATGAAAAACTAGAGAAAAACAAATCCATAAATAGATGCTTTCATTTAATTTAAAACAGTGTAAATGTTCCCATACAACAGCCGAATTATTACTGCGGGCTCCCGACGCACAAAATCGTGAAGAGGTCCGAACTCCGGAATTAAATTCTCCAAATTTACTAAACTTACACATTATAATAGAATTACTTTTTAGTACAATAGAAATTTCATTAACAATTATTCTACAAATACCGATGCAAGCACGTTTTCCATAACTCTGGAAGGAAAATGTCTAGTTTTCAAATGTTGCTACCCATGCTTTGTTGGTACTTTTATTCTACAATATGTATAGGGCAAGCTTTTCCTCACGAACTCAGATTAGTTAGTTAACGAAAGAAAATACAACAAAACATTCCGCAGGCTTAAATGAGTTTCCGGACAGTTTGTTGAAGGCAAGTGCTCCTGTCATTTCACAACCGCTGACCCACATTTTCAACACTTCATTAAGCATCGAAATTTTTCCACACATTTTCAAAACTGCAAAGATGAAACCCCTTTTGAATTAACATGACAAAACTAAAATTCAGAACGATCGACCGTTTTTTGGTCGATTTTCTCATAACTATTAGGAAGACTGTTTTATGTACTACGTTGAAGTACTCTTCAACAAGAACAGTGCACTTTCAAATTGCCACTATGGTGTAAGAAAATCGAAATTCACAAAAAGCACCATATTTTTTCCCGTAAATATGTTCCATTATCTGTGGACAAGATACTCGCAGATGTATTAAAAATATAGTTTCAATCTATCAATAAGAAATCTCATATACATATAAATTTGTTTTTAAAGCCTTTGTGGGATCATTGAACTTAAAACAATTTAATATCTTGCCGAAAAATTTGCAAAAACTATAAGTCCCTTTTCTGACTTAAAAATACTTATTTCAGAATTCATGCCAATTGTATTCCATGGATTCATCTCCAAGATCCCAGTTTGGTATCACTGTTTTGATTTGGTGTCCTTTTTTATGTATATTCCCTCTTCAATGAGAATCAGGCAGACTATATGGCATTGTGGAATTCTAGCAGAAGAGTTCTTTGTGAATGGTGGGAATGAACTTTGTTACAAAAAGAAACGTCGAAAAGTGCCGAATCGGAAATCGCAAATTAATCTCATAACAATATTTAAATGAAGGAAAAACTCTTTCGATAGAATTCTGCATGCGGAAAAAGCAATGATCAGATTACCAGTGCAAATGAACAATATGGACCTCTCAGAAACCTTTTGATGCTGGCCAACGTAATATTGAACATTTAAACTTACAAATCAGTCGTTACTCTACAAACTGATTAACTCAATGGATAATACCGATTCTTACGCAAGACCGATATTCATAACTACAGTGGTCGATGGAGTAATTCTGTTCATCAGGTAACATTATCAACAACACATCATCAAGAATGGAAATTCACATTCAACTCATGTACAAGCACTTACTACGCTTTACCAGTAGACGAAACAAACGCAAGCATTATACTCTTAAAAAAATTAAAAAAGGTGCAAAACTGCTTTTATACTATTACACATTGGGGACTAGCTGACTCAGTGCGAGTATTTTGCGAATGTATATATACGCATGAGAAAATATTCTATGCTATCTCTTAATTGGGTATGAAATACTAGCATTGCATTACATATTCATATATGAATCAGTTGTTTTGTCAAAAACGACTCAAGGGTGGATATGACAAGGGTTTTCATGCAACATATTAATCTATTATTAGGTACAAAACACGTCATAGGAAATATATTCTTCAACTATCAACAGTTCATTACAAGAAATCTCATACAATGTGCATGTATATTATTCTACAATCCATTGCTAGACGACATTAAACAATTAAAATCGATACGCATGTTTAAATGTCGTCTATCTCTTTTCTGTTGTAAGATAGTTTCTGTACAATACAGAGACTATACTGAGAAGAGAAAACTAAAATATTTCTTTTAATACGAGACAAATGTCTACATTTGTATTGTATAATTGTAAGATAATAAACAAGTCTATAACAAGTAACTTCAGCTTTTGGGTCAATGGCTCACATCTCAACTACTTTTTTTGTCGAGTCTCCCTGAACCATTGAGCGAATGCTAAGATGGCCCCTTGCTTTGCTTCTGGATATATATGTAACTTCACTATCACTTTTTTTGTTCACTCTTTCCTAGTTGCGGGAGGAACAAGGTGGAGGGTTTTATTGCAAAATATTATAAAATCAAAATTTCTAGTTCACTCGCCGTTACAAAAAAAAAAAAAATCTATTACTCAGAAGCGTACATTTCCAGTCTTCATGTTACCTACCACGACCGTTTGTGCCTTTATTCATAATCCAACAATCTATAATACATAAAAGGTGTAGCGATTCTATATCTGAAGAAAACGAGAGCATATAACATTCTTACTCTAGAAAACGATAATATTTATTCATCTATTATAACGCGGATTCATTTGAAACATATGTAATCAATAACGCAGCCACTACGATTACAACTAAGGAAGTTGTACTGGCCACTTGTGCCATATTTTTATTTCAAAATGTCCATGAAATTTCTACGATAAAGTAATAGAATTCCCGCATTCTGCGAAAGAACGAATCAGAGGGAATTAAAACAAAAACTTATCGGTAAATTCTTTGAACATCCGTTATATTACACCGATGCATGAGACTGTCAACTGTCTTCAATGTTTGGTATACATTTATTAATATAAAATCAAACATCGGAATTGGAAGCTACATCTCGATGTACAGAAGGTTTGAAATATGGACGCATCATTAACTGAATAGAGGACGCAAAGTCTGAGCAGTAATAAACATGAAATGTAAGCATTGTTGCAGAACCAGGTAAATGCCAAAGGGCTCAAAACCTATTACAAAGACATTCCAAGTTTCTGACGTTTCAATTATTGAATTATTCAATGGATGTTGAAAAGTGGGAAACTCCAATAATAAGCTTTTGTTTCCTTCCGTCACTTCATTTCTAAAATGCTCAACTCTTCCGCGACAGGCATTGTTTGTTGTCCTTATTTCACAAATTTTGATGACCTTCTAACAATAACAATGTTCTAAACCACTGCTCAATCGTGTCAAGGCTCCCCTAACAAAATAGAGGTCTGCCAGTTTTTGTTTCCTTTCTTTCCTTTTTGTTCTGTCAGGGCAACAGATCTGTAATCTATTTGCATATTGCAGACACAAACGTGATCGAAATCAACAACACACTTGTGGCACGCACCTACGGTCATTTTCGTTTGATGGGGGTAGACTTTCCCGCAAGGAGTTTCGAATATTAATTGAAATTGTGGAGTACCAAAAAGAGCTATATTACTCGCAATTAACTCACAAATAAAATGATCTCCGTTGTCATTCTAACATATGAAAGTTTATATAGTTTTCATTATTACATTGCTAAATAACTCGAAAAGTGCACTATTAGAATGACAATTTTCTATCGAGTCGTTTGGAATGCATAATAAGAAAATCTGTAATGATTACATATCAATACGAATGGCTATGCGAGTCGAGGAATAACAAAAATATTTGCAAAGTAACGGTTAAGACTGGATCTCAAAGAACGACGCGCTATCTGTCCAGTTAACGAATCGAAAATAAACATTTCAGAAATAAGCACAAACGTCCTCTTGCACTAAATAGATACCACCTCAAAACCTGACGCAATGCACTGACATTTTGATCAACAACGACGAAACACACAGCTAATAACAGCGACGGAAGAATTTCGTGCGTTCAGGAAACAAGAAATACCCAGTTCGAATAAACTCGTTACGAAATCCCAACGACACGCAGTCCTGTCGCAGCGTGCCGGCACCCAAACGATCATTAAAGGAACTTTTTTTCAGTCCAACATGGGACAGTGGGTTGCAGCGCCACTAAAAACTGTGAGAGCGGCGCGGCCACTCGGCGAGGAAAAACAGCTGGGTTGGCGGGGTGGGCGGGAGCGGGCGGGAGCGCGCCGGCGCGGGCTGGGGAAACCCGCTCGAAAGCGGCGCGCCAGATGGGGAAATTCGGTCTCTCGCTCGCGCGCCCCTCCGATTATTACGCACCCGCGGCGGGAAGCCCTCCACTGCGCCTGCGATTTCATGTGGCAGAGGGCGTGACGGACGACGACCGCCCGCTGGATTTTCCAGTCCGTTACCCTTTTCTACAGTCCATGACCACTCCGTTGCTATTGCTTATCCCTTGCTCAAACAAGTTGCGTACTACCCGCGATGTTAGAGAAAGTTCGACTTCCCATTTCCAACGAGAAGTGTTGGATCCCATCCTGCCTTTGAACCCTTCGTTTTAATTTACGCTATTGAATTTTGGCAGGTTTCGTCCGGTTCACCAAAGTATAAAACAAAGAACGAAAGCAGTCTGTGGATCCGACGTGGCTAGCTCGTCTGTAGCAGCTGCCGCCGCCATGACTGCTAGTTTTTGCGTTCCAGCAGACCTGGAGAGAACTGTGTGGAAACCAGGGATTTCCGCGAGCCAACCCAACACGAGCCGCTCTTTTGAACCTGGGGATTCCCGAGCCCACTCCCTGCTCCCCTCGGCGGCCGCCGCCGCCGCCGCCGCCGCCACTGGCGGCCAACAAGGAAATGGCGGGGGAAGTCGGCTTGCAATCAGCTAGCGTATTTACGCCACTTTACTATTGCCCCCCCCCCCCTCACCCCAATCATACCGAAATTTTACGTCATTTTCTTTACATTGCTAATGATTACGACTGGTTAGCAACTAATGTTAAGTCAAGGATGAGATGAGATGGGATGGAGCAAGAACTCGTTTGATTTTCATTGCATTTATTTCATGCACATAGATTTGTTACTAAAAATAGTTTTACTTACAATAATATTTACAATTAAAAATAAAAATACACATTAAGGCTGGCAAAACTGAAATTATTCAGAAATTCCATTACTTTATACACACTTAAATAGCTTTTGCAATGTTTATATTATAGTCACTTTGGACTTCATGATGCACTCCAAAATTAGGTACACAAGTGCTCGCTGCAGTTTACAATAGATCACTCTAGTTCACATGGAGATAAATCATTGAGCCCATAGTTTACTTTGAATCATATTACAAGAGTTGTTTGTCCCTTGCTCCACACATACCAAGGTGATCTGTCTTTCAAAGGCACTATCTTGTTTGATAATAAATAACCATTCAGATAAAAAAATAAAAGAAATTAAGAGGTCACCTTAGGGAACTCCACCACACAAAATGAATGCAATTCAACAATGCAGGTACAATTCTGGATCAAGATATACTGATTTCTAGTATTCACATCAATATTTTTTACATGATATGCAAAACTTGGGACATCAAATAGGGTAATTAAATAAGCCTGGCCATCATAATGGTCTATAAATATCAAGCCATAGTGGGGACAGGAAGTCATCAGTAAGATACCAATAAGACATAACTACAAACAGTACTATATCAGTAACAGTTTGGATTGTACACCTAATTTACAAGTCAATCTGAATAATTTCAATGGCAGTGATAGTGTGGCACAGCATTTTAAAAGTTTGTTATCTTTCAGCATGCCACAATTACAATACCGCCTTTTAATTAATTGACTCATCCCAACAGAACTACACATTTGATATTTATTGTAACAAACTACAACACTTTGTAGCCTATGCACCTGCCAAACTATTAGCTGAATAATTTACTGAATTATTCCTTCCATGGACTAGATATCTGAATGCTTCTCATACCCTACATCCCATATCAAGCCAACTTTGAGGATACTAGTCGGTACATCTCCAAATGATAATCTGCAAGCTACCTTGCAACTCGGTCAAGGAAGAAGAGAGGTAGTCAGGTTTGGAGGAACACGCTGAACTATCACTGCCAGTGACAGGTCTGAACATCATAAATAGGCACTGGAGAAAGCGATATAGAGATACATACAACAGAAACAAACAATAGTCTTTAACATTTTACTTTTCTCACACCACCTGCGAGTCTGCACTGAAGACTGACAGGGGGGTATAACAACAACATAGATGGAATTCATATTATTCAAACAAATACTTTCAAGGCACCCATTATTATTCAACATCAATATAATTAACATTCTCAATTGCATTATGGTAGTCCATCAAAGAACAGAATATTTGTACCATTGCAGGACACCTGGCAGAGGATGCCTTTTCAATTTGCTTCAATTTTCTTCATTTATGCACAAGGTTATGGCACTATAACAGCAACCTTAAGTACTTTTCACTACAGCAGAGTTAACCCACAGAATGTTCACCATTCTCCCATCATTCTTGCACCGTTGACAGTTTTGCAGTTATGCGCTGATGTTGATAGGCTGCCCGTTGATTCTGAGACTGCTAAAATTATCATCAGACGATTTCTGGTACATCTGCCGGGTGAGAAATAATAAAAGTTGGTCACTTTTATTCCTGTTGAGATTCTCAAAAGTATTTTGTGGACTTCCAGCTTTGCATTTAACAGCAACAGATTTTTCAGAGGACAACATAACAGCTTGATGCAATTGAGTTAAGAACATACAAACACACACATCACACAATTAAATTTAATTTCAATATGAAAATCCTAACAGTTCAAGCAGAGGCACACCAATTCAAACTTGTCTTGTCCTCACCTCATTTTCATTACCATCATCATCATCACTATAGTCAGAATCAGAATCGGAGTCATCAGGCAGGTTTTTGCAAAGGGCTCCATGTTCTGAAAGTTGATGCGCCAAAGCAGAGTCTATACATGCTGCTAGCTGGTATGCAGTGTGCCCAGCGTACGTGGATGCCTCCAGTTGCACAGAACACTCCTCCAGGAGAAAATGTAACACTCTACTGAGGCCAAGCTCAACCGCATAATGAAGAACTGTGCGACCACTTTTTCCTTCCTGCAATCATAAATGTTTTCTTTTAGCTTGCATATCAGAACATGAGCAATACATCTAATTACTGAACGTACTCAATGTCAAATTCAATCTCCACAGTAGAATTTAACATACTTTGCATTTTACCTATCAGTTATAAAGACAAATTATTAGGCAAGGATTAATAAGTGTACAAAGCATGTAACAAGGTTGCCAGTAAATTCTTTAACAAGCAGATTATTCTTTGCATAAATATGTAAAAATAATGTTAACTATTTTTATTAACAAACAAAAAGTCGAAGTAATTGATTCACATTTTAAATTAAATATGATTGCAAGAATAATTGTGTAGCGTAGTAATGATTTTAAAATTAATTTTTAAAATTGCAAATGTTACTTTTATTTTCTTACTGATCCTGGTTACTTACGCTTAACATTTAAAAATTATTAAGAGGCCCATTGTTTGGTATGCTTAGCAACCCTGAAGAGTTTCAGTCCTGACACATAATCAGTCAACAAAAATATATTCTATAGCTTATTATTTAATAATCCTGGGTAAATAAATTCCATGCACTGTCCAAAGGACAATGAATTCCGGAAATCTGACATACTGTCTGCAGCACCGAAGAGTAAAACGTTTTGCGGTAACAAAAGATACCGTTAGGAATACAAAATATTGAGGGTGTTGTCACAAGAGAATGGTTTTTAACTAGATCAATTTCCAGTTTTTAACCGTCATTAAACATTGATTTTCCCTGCAGCCGTTTGAAGTAAACCAATGGCTTTCCCCGAAAAACGGAGTTCCGCGGCGAAGCGCCCTTGCGCGCGTCCGGTACAACTGTGCGCGCGTGCCACCGGCGCATTGCGGCGAATAGCGCATCTCCAAACGATCTCGACCGCAGAACCATTTCGGTCAGCGGCACACTCGCAGCGGCACGCACGTCTCGGCATGGGGGATTCCCGCAGCCGCCACCGTCGCCGCTCCGCGGGTTCAGCGACCCGGCGCGGCACGGTGGCGGCGGCGGCGGCAGAGCTTTCCGGGCCTCAGGGCTCGGCGCGCGGGAAGCCCCCAACACGTGGAATGGCCGGGACTACTGCCGCGCACGAAACTATCGACCACGGGGGCGGGGCGGCACAGCGGCCACGGAACGGAAATACAC